TAAAGCTTCATGAGACTGAAAAGTATTGTCTGTGTTTCTGGAACCCTTGGTATTTTAAATTAAGCTTCCTCACCAGTCACATTTATACCAGGTTCAAATAAGCACAGGTTTTGTTTTATTCTGTTTAACGTTCTATCAACAGCTAAAGTCAGTTAAGGATGTGCCTTGATGTGTGTTGCGTATGCGTGCATGTGTGCTTGAGGCAGGGGAAGTCGGTGTGCTTGCCTCAGTATAATAGCGCGGATCTGATGCCGACTTTATAGTGCTAACTCACTGGAACACCTTGCCGAAGTCACCCAGCACAGCATTCCGCCCGGTCACATTCTACTGACAACGGTCGAACGTGTTGTTGCCATTACCCTCAATGCTAAACGTTAAGCAGGGAATAACAACTACCATTTTTAAGGACTTTGGTATGTCCCGACATGGGGACAGAACTCACTGCCTCCCTTACATGTGCTAACTACATGCATTGTAAATTCATTCCAGTACCTCTGACTGGCGGAGGGTTATTTCCTATTTTTTGCCGGATTATATGTCTCTGGTGAAAGGTTTCAATATTTGTATTTGTAGGACAGAGACTGGTGCAAACACATCAGGCTAGTGAGGAAGATATTGCCTACGGCTATATACGCAAACACCGATACAGCCAGCTCCAGTATGGATACTTCAACATCAGGCAAACCAGATTATGGGAACCATCAACAAAGAATGTTTTTAAGAAGTTGTTTACGAGCATTTAACTTTGTCTTTTGAGCAATGTTTTGAACTGCCTGGATTTCTTTTCCTCGTAAGACGAAAATCGGAGCAGTTTAAATTTTCAACAACAAAAATATTTTAAATTTCATAACGTTTATTTGATACTTTTGAAATAGCATATATCAGAAAACTAATTTAAGCATTTTATTTAATTAATCAGTTAAATGGTTTTTAAAATAAGATAAGTAGCAAGAATGTCCTTACTTAAGTTATCCTCATTTTAGGAGGAAATCTTTGATTTGATAGCAGGTATAGGGAAATGTGAGCATAAATTTTGCTTTTAACAGATTTTTTTAGAAAACAGTTGTAATTTTTCTGTGTGAATAACCTATCAAGGAAAAAGAGCAGGAACGAAAATCATGAACGCAAAAACCCTTTGACATTCTCATACTTAGTAGCTGAACATGCATTGCTTGGATATTATAGGATTAATGTAAAACAGAAGGGAAACATAGAGAGGAATTCTGAAGAAATAAGGATAAGCGATGATTATTATATCAAGGTTTCACTGTCTGAGAGCAAGTGAACGTGTTGTTTAAAACCTGTTTGTTAGAAACAGAAATGAAGTGTTTATTTCACCAAGCTTTTTTCTAGTAAGGCATTAATGGTTTTAAGAGCATAACAAAATTCTGATCATGTTCCTTCTCTATTGTCAAAGGCCTCAAACTGTGACATATTTGCTGGTGTATTCCCTAACAGTTTACATATTACAGAGATAGAAATTATATACAGTCATTCATTTTATTTTCCTGGTATCAAAGTAGAGTTGAGCAGAAAGCGATAATTCTTTTTGTACGTTTTTTATAAGTTTTATTGATAAGGAAGAACATTAGCAAATATGGTCATTGGTAAGCTTATTGCGGGTGGTTTTTGAAGGTAACTTTTTTTATATACAATCCAGTATTTTTCTGTGATATATTAAACATACATTGATGTGTATTGTGTTACATTTAGCAGTTACAATCAGCGTCTGGCATCTGGTTGAATGTTTTTTTATGATGTTTTATTTAGCAAATTTATTGACAACAAAGCTTAAGTATTTACTTTAAACTGAAAATCGAATCAGATTACTTTTTAATCTTTTAATGATAAGATAAAACACTTCAATAACATTTACTGATATTGTTGAACTTTGTGATATTTTTATTTACAAATATTGTATGAATAAAGAACGATTTGAAAAAAAAATGCTGCTTTTTGTCCGTTTATATTTTAGCTCTATTTCTTTGGAAAGCACTACGTTTAGACCGATTGTCCTTAAAATACATTCTTTTAATTGCTTTTTTTTTTATGAAAATATATATATATTTCAGCAGATTAACCTTCAACGACTTTTTACGTTTTTAAAAGCTTGTATCTAGAGTTCGTTTTTCGCAAATTATGTTTTAAATGAGACGAAAGTGTTACTTTAGTCTCTTTGAAACTAATACTGGAATTTGTCTCAACTTGGAAACATGTTTATATCTTTAATTTTCTATTTCAAGCTCTCCAAGTAATATAATTTATCAATTCAGAAGCCTGTCGAAGCGAAAAATGTCATTACCATTTCTTAATCATCTATTAAATGTAGCAGTAACGTTTGTTATTCATTTTGGAATACAAAATTCCAATTTTTTTTTCTATTTACTCTATCCAGGCGGATTCTGTGAACCAGCAGTTATATCCAATAGCCGATCGGTAAAAAATGAACCTTTCCTAAATTGTCAACAGAAAAAATTGCAATGTAATATATATTTGTGAGTATTTGCCCAAACCTCATGTACAGACAAGGTTCCCAAACGGTTAAGAGACCTAGTGATATTGTTAATTCGGTCAATTGTTGTACATTTGTAATTATAAAGTACTCCTCTAAATAAAAAAAATCATAAATTAAGGTTTTTTGACGCACCTGTCCCTCTGTTTCAACAGTATCTTAGACAATTTGGATTTCCAGCATTTTGGACACTTGCATCACCGATGAGTCCTATTGGTATTTCTTACATATTAAAGTAAATCAGTAAAGCAGTTTTCTTCTTCTAAACCTACTGATACCAAGCAAGAAACATTCTCTGAAATAATTTCGGTATAAACAAAGAAGTTATATAGACTAAAACTGTACTGAGAAATATTGAATAAGGGCAAAAAACTGCTGCTTTTGAGAATACGTATAAATGTATGGTGATATTATTAAAGTGTATTTTGTCAGGTTGCTTTTGATTAAATGTATTAATGTGTGTTGAAGTTTAAAACCCAATAGGATATTGTATATCATTATAAATTCCGACAGCTATCTAAATATTAAAAGGATCCCTGTCCCGCTGGACTGTGTTTTTTTCTCGGGCTGGTATGGGAGTCTTTGACTGATTAGGAGTAGGATATGGTAATGGTCATTTGATAACCTATAAATATACGAAAAACCACAGTGGAATCTCTAGTGCTTTACCTGCAGTGGGACAGGGATCTTTAAGGTGATAAATTATGATGCAACTGTTACTTGAACCATGGACACCGAGAAAACAATGGAACTCACACCAGATAACAAGCTTATTTGTGACGTATCGACGAATCATGTTTGTTTAGGAGACACGAACCAGGGATATAAACACAGTATGTGCCACATGCTCGTTCGATCCCCAGCTAAGTCAGCAACATGACACAGAATGTATTTCGTCATGTTACCGACTAAATTGATATTAAATACCACCGATCCAATTGTGTTAAGAAATAAACAGATTTGTTTTAAAACTGCATATCAATAAAATGATAGCATCAAAATTTTGAAGAAACTTGCAGATTTTTCACTAATTTCATCTTATCACATTATAAAAAAAGGTGCTAACATATGAATTGTCTTTAAGGTGTTCGTATAGAAATCGATGCGCGGGGTAAACACTCGACATATACTTATGGATTTTTCTTTCTTTGCGATTATATGTATTCGTGAAATAATTGTTTAAAGTTGCCGTGTCGCAATCCGTCCGAGAAACTGCGGTTAAATTGGTGTAATAAAATTTCATAAATGTTATATATATTAATTATTATACAGATTATATTAGAATGAAAAAAATTAACATTCCAATGAATTATATTTATGTCAAGTATAAGCGTATTATTAAGCATTTTCCCTACTGCTACTTATCTCACCAGGCACAGGGTTGAAGCCATGTTTACGTTATTATCATGTCACGATAGATGAATCTAACGAATGGCGAATCTGTGTGCGACTGGGTCAGAGATAAGGTTTACATAATACTATGTGTCCAACAGGGTCGGAAGGTAATGTTTACACAACAATCATGCTTTCATCTTAACTGATGAAGATCTATTGCTTCAATTGGTAAGCTTACCGACTTCTTAACCCACTTATGAAATAGTATTATCATAAATGATCGCAATAGCATAGGAATCATACCAAAATGTATCGTCATTTATTAAAGGGGCACATTGGGGCATGCATGACATTATATATAAATCATCGACACGTAAGCAAACTTATTTTTATTCATTTCAATTGCACGTTTCACATCCTGAGTGTGGTATTAACGGAAAGTCAAAAACTTTGGAAGAACAACAAGAAATGACGCCAATTTTATCCTGTTGAGTAAGAAAGAGCGAAAGTTCGCGGCACGGTACCTTTAAAGAACAATATTTGAAATAAACAATCGTGAAAATTAAATGACTGTTTATTTTCTGCAACTTATTCATATGCTGGTAGACACTTTTTACAAGTTGAATTGAGAGAAAGGGTAAGTTTTTTCTAAAATTCATTTTTCTAACAGTGGTTTTTACCATTATAGCCCATTTAAAAATCTGGGTTTTTTAACAGGACAAGGTAAATTGATGTTTTTATTTTAAAACATTCCAGTGAGCGTCACATATGTAGAGCAAAAAGAATTATTAAAATGAAGATGTTTCACATGTGTTTAGACATTAAAAGTACGATCAAACGTTTTCAATAAATATGCCAAGTAATCTTATAGATAACTCAGCATTATTAAATATCATATGTAGGTACAAAACAGAAAATAGCTCGCACGACTTTCATTAAAAATTGGGTTAAGGTAGCATGTCTATTTCTCTGACAATGTTATCACCCACTTGAGTTAGAAGTAGATTAGATGGACACACAAAGCGACCAAATGGACTGGATTTATCACATATGGTGAGTGGATGGACAGAGGTTTATCAATATAAAACTACAGATACAATATACAGGTGGTATACCCAATGAAACAGTTTATTCGGAAACGAGCACAAGGATAATGGACAGAGTGGCGTTCTACGGTGTCTTAATAGCGTCTTTATATTATGCAGGTAAATGACAAGTCGTTAGCATTGGTTTATTATTTTGTTTATTTTCCTTGTTTTGTTTTTGTTTATTTATTTCAAAAAGTATTTCATTTTGGTAGCCATTTGTATAATTCAATTGATCACGCATGAATTTTATATTTACGTTAACTATGCAATGTTTATTTAATATTTGTTTATATCAAAAAATTGAATTTATTAATGCAGATATGTATATTTCATTGAAGAGTATTTGAAGAAATAAACATCTGAATATACTTTATAACATTACATGTAGATAACTTCTGTTAGTCTTGAAAATACATCCTTGATGAATGTCCGTTAAATATGCATTGAAAAAACCGACCAATTTTGGGGTTTTAGGGTAAAGACAACACGATACTAATGAAACTGTTGATATATTATTTTTACATGTATAGTGGTTGCTATGGTAATGATACATGTATATGGTTGCCATACTATTGATACATGTTTATGGTTGCTATGATGCTGATACATGTATGTGGTTGCCATGATACTGATACATGTCTATGGTTGATATGCTATTGATACATGTGTATGGTTGCTAGGATACTGGTACATGCGTATCGTTGCTATGCTAGTGATACATGTATATTTCTTATGATTTTGAAACATTATATAGTTATGTTGGCTATGTTAACCTGTATGTGGTTGCTATGAAATTGATACATGTGTATGGTTGCTATGATACTGACAAACCTGGTAGGAAAATTTAACTGTTTCGAAAAATCCTTCATATTTCATTTAGCTAAATACTTCTTGAAAATCACGTATCTGAATTTTTTACTAAAAATAATAACAACGTACCAATTAATCATAAGAAATCACCGAATTATGCAAGTTTAAATATTATGGAAAGTGTCTGAAGAAATTGACATCTACCTAACCGAGGCCCACTTGTATAAAACATATCAAAGTTAAGGAAAATCTCAAGCAATATATTGTCTATGGGAAATCTTAGACTTGAGGAAATCTCAAGAATTGAGATGTTTTTATACAAGTGGGCCCGAGCTTTTATAAAGTATTTAGAAATATATGCCCATTTTATTTGCCTTAACCAAACCTGAAAAGAGTCTACCATTGGTGCATAGCAAAAGTTAAAGCTTATTACTTTTATTGAACAGACGCCACTATCAATTGTGGAACATGCCTTCAGCCACCAGATTACGTCAGCAGTTTCATCAAACTTAAAGCACAGTCAACCCAATCAGAGGCCATCATTCTACACAACATCGCAGAGGTGCCAATCAAGGTCGATGTTCAGGTTAAACCAATAAGCGGCAACGACACAAATTACTTCTTCCCTGGATTAGGATCCTCTCAGCAGGATGACGACAAACAAGGAGTCTATGGAGGCGTGGTCTACAAGTATAACGAAACAGCTGTCAAACTGTATGTGCCCAACCGGAACGACGGTTCTGGTGATGGTTCCGTGATATTTACAGGTAAATTGTTGTTCTTGTATTCTTGTAACTATGGAAACCGATCACGGCCAGATTTTCATTTGCAAAGGATTGACCTCCTTGTTTCAAGGCAGTGAAAATACCTAAACCATCATCACAAATACATAATATTTTCAATTTACACTGACATTCACTCAATAACCATTGTTCCCGCAATCTTGAATTAGAATCGCATACACTTACCATAGAACACAAATTTTCATGACGTAAACAATAATTCGTGTGGGCGGAGTTATGCAGATATTAAGCTGTCACAATAGTGTGACGTCACCAACAGTAGATGTGGGCGGAGATAGCCAAAGATTATGCACAATTTGGTTGTTGCGAAAATGAAATTTGAAATAGAAAAGAAAAAAGAAAACTATCCCTGAAGTGAAAATTGCCCCTGAACATAAAATAACTTTACATTATGACATGTCTTGACATTAGGACTAAGATTTAACTGGCAAACTGCGATAATGTTTATTTCAACCGGCCTCAAAACTTTACTTAGCATCAATTGTAGGTTATTTCAGTCGCACATTTATTGTCAATGTTTCCATTCATAGAGTTGCAGTAAACATTCGATTTAGAACACACAATTGAGAATTAAATCCTTCATCCGCACAAAATGTATAAGATAGATAGCAAATGCTTGGAATATCATGTCAGTGTATAAACACACAAAACAATAGGTGTATGACTTTAGGCTCTCTATATGACTGGTTGTATAAATGTTACAGGTATTATGTTGAAATTAATCTCCTTTCTTCCTATTTTCGTGTAACATCTAGAGGAGATGTTACTACTGGTTAAGCACTTAACTTTTGACAGGTTACAATAATGCATGGGTTGGACCAAAGGTACAGAAAGAGGACGCGGCTGAGGTACGAGTAAGGGTGTGGACTGCATGTAAATTTCCAACTCCGGATTATGAGTCTAACTGGATTCCTATGAAAATAAAGAACGGTTAGTATAGTTTAATCCATGTGCAGCTTCGAACGTGACAACTGGTGATCTGGGTCAAGTTGTTCCAAGGGTGATTAGCTTAATCAGTGATTAGTGCAAATTTCAACTTTTATGTATTTTTGAAATGCAGCAATCAACCTAGTTCAAACTTTTCAGATATAAAGTATTAAGTAGAGTGAATGTACATGTAAATTTACGAGTTTTTACCGTGTATATTGTAGAAAGGTTGAAAGATGTCGTTAAACAGTGATTAAGCTAATCATCTTTTGAACAACTGGGCCCTGGTAATATACATCCTCGATATCGATGGGGTTTAGCTCACTTTCGCTCTCTACACCCCTGGAATATGTCATAGCAAAATTGAAGGCTCAATGTGCAGCCTCTTGTGGATGAGACGAGAAGACTAGTTTGTTCCTTTGATGTACATCAAAAGAATCTCGTGGTCGCGTAACTGTAAAAAAATGACTGGCTTTGAAGTCAGGCGTCGCTCCTTTGTAATCTTCAAAGGACAGGTATCAGACTAGTTTTTTTACCTGACACCAATCAAATAGCTAGCTGCGTACCTTCATTTTTGGTAAGACATATTCCAGGGGTGTAGAGAGCGGAAGTGAGCGTTACCCCTGGATATCGAGGATGATAATATACAACGTTAAGTTATCAGAGCTTTTACATGCAGATTAATGGATTTTGAAGAATTCAAATTATTTTCTGATCAAGTTTGAACATTTATTCTTCAAAAATGTATCTTCTACCAGAATATCTGATTTTTTTTCTGTACAGTCTTATACCATACGAAAGGAATGCATTGGTTCTCTTCTCGTTAGAATGTTTTTTATGAGAGGCGAACCGAGTTTTTGACCTTTTGTATGAGCATAACAAACGGCAAAGGCGAATTAAAGATAAATGTATCGATATTTTTTTTAAATAACAAGAAATGTAGTGACCATGTCGACCGTTTATACCCTCTTGAACTACAGACCTTTCTAAATCAGATGCTTTAAAGCCTGACCAACAGGACAAACGTTTTACAAAACTGTAGAATAAGGCAGTTGATTCGATATTTACGGAATTGTTTTTTATCGCAATTTTCATGAAGCATGTCTAAAGCTGGTGGACACGACAAAATGTTATAACAATACAGGATTTGAAGACACATAGGTTGACGGAAAACTTTTGTTATATGATCGATATCATGATCTCATTAAGTAATATTTTATTTGCATTGAATATCGATGTTTTCGTTTAAGCTCATATAGGTTTTCCATGTTGTTTCGTTATCACTACTGCGGTTTTCTCTATTGTCAACTTAGATTACATATATTAATGTCAGTTAATGGCATTGATGTATTAGGGGACGCTTGCCATTCTGGAACACATGGTCTTAACCTTGTATTTTTACAATGGTCGTCGAAGTTAAGTTTAAATTACTGTTTTGTATACAGTTCGGTATTTTCTCTTATTATTATTTTTATCAACTTTTGATAGGTACGGACTCGTTTCGGGAGGTAGTTCACGGACTAGGCTACGTCCCTAATTATGTAACAGTACAAGTATGGAACAATGGAACTGACTGGTATGCAGACGGAATAGGTATGTTTGATAGAGCAACAAATTAAGTATATAGCAGAAACAGAATATCTATGAATGAGGGGGGAGAAACAGAAATCAATTTGATTCAATCTGTACAGTTTCGTACAAATCAATTTAAACCCACCTTTACATATGGATTTTGATTATTTTTCCTTTTTAATATATATGTAAATATATCAAACATAAAAAAAAAAAATGTCAATGTTTCTTCACTTTATAGAAGTATATTTCAAATAAGAGTTTGAGAAATTATATCATCAGGATGATTATTGGTAAATATTTACAAAATTGTTATAATTTTCTAACAGAGAGTAACAAAATATGTATTTGAAGTAAATAAAGATATCGTTTTTTTTTAAACAAATCATAAATTAAATGAAACAAAATATAATTGAAAAAAGAATAGAAAATATTTAAAAACGCAACAGTTATCCAATATTTTCCCTACAAAGTTCCTTCAAAGTAAATCCGCAAGTCTTGTTCTTGTCATATCATAACTAATTGAACTGCCAATTTTACTCCATTTAGCATCAGGAATGACGCCGAACAACGTCAACAAACTTACATCCTGGGGAGGAGTTGTCTATGCCTTTGATGACAATCATGTCCGGATCTGGGTACCAGGTTTCGACACAGGTACTCTAAATCAAATTATCGTAGCTGTAGCAAATCTACTAAATAAGATATTGTTGATGATGATAGTTTTAACGAAAGTCGAAGATGGCAGAAATGTCATCCTGATATATTTTCAAAATCAATTGTTTTGCTTTTTACTTGAACTGCATGAGTGTTAAAACATACCAATGAAAAGGAATTAAAGTGACTATAACGAATGATAACAATTCTTGCTCTTTTGTTATTATTATTTTGATAATGGCGTTGATATTTATTCCAACCTTAGTTTTGCATTCATAATAACAAAAGAGCAAGAACTGTTATTATTCTATATGGTGACTTTAAAATTCCTTTTTACTAGTATGTTTTAACACTTTAGATTCTTAACATTAATCTTAACATTAAGGTTCCCTGTACCACTGCCAAACATTGTACACCTTTTACCAGCATGACTATAGGATTTGATTATGCAAGAATCATTAAGCAGAACAAAAGATTAGTCTGAGGGTGAACATGCAGAGGAACCAAACATGAATCGAAGTCCAATCATGAGATAGGTTTATTTAGTCAAATGCACTGGTTTGAGTGGAGTTCGGGCGAGGAAAATCTTTTTTTTTTGGTGCATATATATATAGAAAAGGTAATTACAATATCAAACTCGTAAATGCATTTGAGTGACTAGGTCAGCGGTAGTACCACGGTATTTCAACTTTATCACATTGGCACAAAACAGGGTTCTCACACTTGAGCTGACCGAAAATATAAGGCTTATTCAAGTTTTTTTCTAGGCCAGAAGACAAATTTCAATGTCATTTTCCAACACTCAACACCAGGAGTCATATATGTCGTATAAATAACGTGAAGGAGTCGCTCGTATGGGCAATGATTTTCTTGTCATTCTGGGTCAGGTTGACGTCGTCACATATCGTTTGATAAATTCTCTGCACCTCTCCTGCTTCCAGTCAGGAATGAGTTAAACTCTGGACATGCCAGTATTAATATTGATTCTACCTGTGTACTACATTTATTATAAAAACAACTTAAGAGGAGTTTTTAAAAACTACAATACAGTTCCTTAGTATTTTGCCTGCAGTTTAACAGGGATCCTTAAACATGTATCCCAAGCATCTACTCAATGTTTAGCTATTTCAATCTATTAATAACTGAATACTTCTGTCATGTATCACAGGAAGTATGTTTAGTGTGGCCGATGGTTGGGGTCAAGGGTCACAAGAGACATGGTCAGAGGGATTGGTCAAGGTGAGAGTTTGGGGTCATATGCCTGGAGACACTATATATGAAACTAACGCAACAATCGGACAAATCTCCAGAGGAAATACTTCTCCCCGACTGGGCGGCGTTACCGGAAGTCTGAACATGGATGCTGGGCTGATTTCTGTTACGGTAACTATATCATGGAAACCATTTATAATTCTAAAAAACTAGCTTACATTCCTTTTGAATATTTATGAGAAATAAACGAGGTGTCTCATTACTACAAAAAATTACAATATCTTTATACTATTGTCCTAATGGTCGCCTGTTTAATGAAAACATGACCAAAATCACTCTTGTCGGTCCGGATGGAAGCGCGCAGAGGATCTTAATCATAATTCCCGTCATATACATGTATTATTGATGGTTTTGTTGTCATTACCCGAGTTCTCGATGTGAGGACATGATATTGCTTGGATCGACTTAGATTTACAAAGCGATGGTAATACATGAACCATAAGACGCTTACCCATCCGAAACACATGGTTTCATTATCCTTGTACTTTTTCAATGCTCTCCATCAATGTCAATCATTCCTTTCTCAAGTATCTCCTTCAAATTTTGCCAAAGTTTTATTGATTTGAAGTTTAATTATGGTTTTGATGACATTTCGGTGTTGTTTTTTATTACATTAACCTGCGACTGCTTTGCACAGGTCAAGGCTCTGAGCGGTGATAACAATGGCTTTTCCTTTCCTGCCTTCGGTGCCGTTCAGAACACAGATCCTCACGACAAGTTTGGAGGTGTAGTGTATTCCTACTCATCACACGGTATCCGGGTCTGGCATCCCATTGTCCCTGGTGCCGGAAATACCGCCCTGTATCATAAAGGGACGCTGCTCTACGTATCTCCTTACTGGGGAGGTGGAATCCATTCTCAGGACTCCAAATTTGGATTAATTGAAGTTCGATTTTGGAACTCTTATACTGGGCGATGTATGTATCGTCTGTATCTTATTTACATTGTTCTTCATTCGAAAATTGATATATGTGTGGTAGATTTTAGTTGTACAAACGAGTACTATCGCCTTCTAGCTTCGCGCTTGATGAAACGTCCTTTTTGCCTAGTGGTTAAGCGTCCGGCTGATAAGTCCGGGGTCGCGGGTTCGATCCCCGATAGAAGCACACAAGTATCTTTCCTGTTGATAGGACAATGTATAAACAACATTGTTTCATCTGGGTAATATAATATGTAGACCATTTTATTATTCTGAAACTGTTCATTAGATGCGCTACTCCTATCGGTATTTACCACATTTTTTGCTTCTACACATGTTCAGACCTTAATCTTTCAAACTTAAGATGGCTGTATTTGAGGACAGAATAGTCTAGAAACAATTTAAAATGACATTTGATTGACCGCTATATTGATAGCACGATTTTCTAAATAAGTCCATTTTAGATAATACAAACATTCAAACGTATTCGATAGTATTATGTTCGGGATCTTATACTGCCAAAGGCTGTAATAATGCATTGAAGGTATTTGTAATTCATTTATATAGAAAGAAAACCGTCCGAAATACAAAAAAATATATTCTAGAACAATTCTAGAACTAGAGTGTAAAATTGCAAACAGCACCAGACCAGGATTCGAAACCTCGATTTCCTATCAATATACTTTTGCTCTAACCAACTGAGATGTCTGGTCAGTGGTACATTAGCCTGGACCGTTTGCGCTACAATTAAATTAAAAAAAAATAAGGAGAGATTACAGTATGCACGAAAACCTACCATGGATCTCTATAGTGTTTTGCCTGCAGTGAGACAGATCTTAAAGAGGAAATTATATTTCAATACAAAGGATTAATAATTTGATTTATCGAATTCCTTTGTTATGTTGTTGTTTTTTTGTTGTTTTTTTAATTATAATATCTTATAATTTTTTCATATTTTATTTATTATGTTATTATTTATTTTCTTTATTGATAAAACAAAATTCCCCGACTAAATCTATATTCCGAGGTTCTAATGTGTACTTCTGTATCCTAACAGGTCCTCCACCTACCACTCCCGCCCAAGCCAGTACATCGCCATTTACCGGTACCACATCCAATACGTCAAGTTTCTTGTCAACAACTTCCTTACCATTGACATCGGTACCCGTCTTAACTTCTACAACCGCAAAATCAGCCACAGCTTTGTTAACGTCAGCAAAGTTTTCAAGTAAGACCAAAGCATATAAATGCTACTATCACTATCGTTTTATAATGAAACATTTTGCATGACTAGTAAATGTTTTTAATACCATTTTTTTTGTTTCGAGAACTATCGTGACGGAATATCATACGAAGTTAGCGTTTTAATCATACATTCACAAAAAAACTTCAATAAATTATATCTTAATATCTTGGATACAATTACATCCTACATTGAAAAGACAATACCGTTACCATTTGAAAATTATTATGCACAGATGATGAAAAATATAAACTGCCAAAAAGAATCTTAACCTTATCAAGCAGCCTCATTTTCCATTTGTGATTCATTTTTTATTATTGTCCGTATCACGTATACTTTACCTTGCATACAGATTCAACACGAAGACCAACTTCTCATATGCAAACGACAAAAGCATCATCTTCGAACAGCAGCCAAACTTCCAGAACTGTAGGGTCCGTGACGCTTACATCTGGAGCTGGTGTCGGCGGTGGATCGTCAACTGGGTTTCCAGTGACAGCTTCCACGGGCATAAGGACAACAGCTGGATCGAAAGGATCCGGAACAACTTCTGGAAGCGGGGTCCCAGGAGTAACTTTGGCAAACAATTTATCAACAACCAGGAGCACTCTGATGGGAAGCATTCAAACCGCTGATGGCGGGCGTAAGTCGTACATTTTACATTGTCAAAAGGTTCATGTCTGACTTTTCAATGACTAGTACGTTATGTACTCTGTGATCTTAATCAGACAAATGACCTATGATGGTCAAAGGTGTAAGATATGTACCAGTTGACAATTTAATCGAAGTCGATTAGGATACACTTTAATCGTACTATTAGTTGTTACGCATGTACAAGATGACGAATCGAATTGACAAATCGATTCGGGTACACTGTATTGGATATTTTGTCATAAATGCGCGAGAGTCTATGAGCCTATTGCCGTTACAAACATTTCAATTACATGATGAAAATGTTGTTTAATATTGTTCACCAAATCTGTGTTCTATCATATTCATGCATTATATTTTGTTTATAATGTCTTTTAAAATACTATGGTTATAATTATAACATTCGTATCTATTTCGTGTTGTTGAAAATGACAGTGTTTAACGTCCATTTTTGTGTGACTCTAATCTTAATTGTTTTCGCTGTCGATATATTTTCTGGGAAAATATTTACACAAAAAAGAATCAACACTTAAATTGTTCATCACACAATACACATAAAGCAACGAAAAATAAATATCGCAAATGATGACATTTGTGTGTAATCCGTAAATTACTATTTCGACGAAAAATGAAGCTGTGCGAATACATATATGGTTGTCCTGTATATTATCAATAAAACAAATACGTTGTCACGATAATCTAATCCTGATTATCAAGGTACTGTAGTTGTACAGTTTCTGAATTCATTTTTTTTTTTATTTATACTGCTATGATTTGTAGCACAATTTTTGCTGTAAATGTGTTGATTTATATTTCCTGAACTATAGTTGTTGAAACTGTAGCCTATAAATTATCAAGGTAATTGCATCAGAATAAATGTTCTCTCTTTTTTTAGTCTCACCTGTAGCTACAGGTCTCATTGCAACTGCAAGTATCCTATCTGCAGCCGGCTGTTTGGGTGGACTGATCTTTGGCTTTCTAAAGAAGGAGAAGAAGGCGAAAAAGCAGCAGAGGATAGATCCAGAGGGCGAGGTGAAAAAGACTTAGTCAGTTCTGGGTGTCATTCATAAATTGAACCAAGATAAACTTGGCAAATAAAAATGCGTCACTATCTATATATAAACGGTCTGTTGCAATTGTCATGCTGTCCTCCGTTACTCCAAGGAGAGGTAATGTGGCTAGGAAGGTAATTTATCTAATAGTCTTAGATTCAGCAGTTGGAATCTGTACGAACAGAACGAAGATCAATGCTTATTAAAAGTCACCATTGCATTGAGGTAACAGGTAAATCTCGTTTTTTTCTTCTAGAAAACCGATACTTTTGGCAGTCAAACGGTCAGAGACAATAACGGAAATTCTCCAACAGAAAATGGAAATCCTAAACCAGATGAAGGAACTCATCCACCAGACGACGTATCTCCTCCAAAAGATGATGGAATTCCTTCAGTAGATAACGGAACTCCCGACACAGCTAATGGATCTCCACCGGCTTCAACAGATCGACCACAGACTGCACGTCCGGATTAGGGAGTGTGTTGATACAATAAACAAATGACTGGATTTTTCTTCTAACTATTTAATCCTACTTACACAGTCAAACCTATTTGAAATACTGACATCCAAATTTTCGACATGACCAGACATTATGTGTAACAGATTTACTTTCAACTTCCAAGAACCAATGTAATATTTTCTGATATTCATTTTCACAACTGTTTTCTAACGATAACTGTATACAGGGAATTTTTCGCCGCTGTTTAACTTTGGACTGTTTTGCCCTCCATAATTTCCATTAATAGCCAATCCTCCTTGATTGCCTGTTATTTGTTTGGCATTTTATGATGCAATATCCGCAAATAATTTGTCAATATTTGCCATTACACGTTCCTACGTAATTATCATATGAAGTATTTCATTTGCAACAGCCACTATATATTTCCTCGCTTCCGAATAGTTAGATAAATCTATTATGAGTTGGTCAACATTTTTAAGTATCCATTATGAGATACATCAGTAAATTGTTTCTTGCACATTTGTAATAACTTTTAAATCAAAAGAAAATAACGCCATTGACAAAAAATTGAAATTAAATACTTACTTTTTCTGTTTGTTTTTGTTTTGTTTTCTGTTTGATTTTTTTTCTATTTTGCTCTTCTTTCTAATCATTGCTTTTTATATTTTAATTTACAAGGACTTAAAGTCACTCGTATTTCTCACCTGTTATTTGATTTTGATAATCAGTGCATGTTTTATGTGTTTTTTGAAGGAACTCCTTTTATCGAAGCTTAATATTTAACACTAATTAGACAAATATGCAATTATGTTAAACATTTGTCATGATAATGTAATGCTTTCGATTAAAGTTTCAAATTCAAAATGTTGTTTTAGTTAATTTGTTGCAATTTATAAGGATTTGCCTTAATTAATAACATAATTGAGTGAACATCATTTTTCTCCATACCGTTGTGCTTGGATTTCAAGCGCTAGGCTGTTTTTAGTTTTATTAGACGCACAACATAATCCGATTTTATCATTTGTCAATGCTTTAATCCTAAAATCTGAATCAGTAGAATAAAAATCATTATTTAATCATGTTCATTTATTTTATTTGCTTTTCTCCAGTTTCATTATTTTACGTCGTGCAAGTAAATTTATATCCTGCCATCAATTAAATTTTCAAATTGTACATACTGTTTTGCTTGTTTGTTTACACATATCAGGATTAACTTTATTTAATTATCACGTGAACATAATTTATCTTCACAACGGATTGCTTGGATATTACTATGTTATTACAAACTTTATCAAAGCTGAACGTCACACACACATGTGATACACTTTAAAAAGATTGTAAAAGATACAGTATGCCAAAAATAAACTACACTGCATCCTACAGCTGTTTCGTCTACTATTAAAACAGAGGGGCAGGTGCGTAAGACACCTTAATTTAAACATTTAATAATTTAGAGGAGTACTGGTTAGTTTAAAATTAAATAACCTGTAAAGTGTGCATATAATTAACCGTTCCACCACTCAAACGAGAAAACTGTGGCCATCAAGGTTACAGCACACATCGAGGTCTACATAAATCAACCAGTAATACCACCTTTCATCTTGAAACCAAACATACGCTGGTCTTATACCGATATTATACAGTAGTAAAATAAATAGACATTTTACAATCACAACGCTGCTTCGGTCGGCGTAGCATCAGTTGACTTTTTTCATGCAGGCACTGATTGGTTTAAAATCTCCAATAATATCCATTGATAAAGCTGCATTATGTACTTAACATATCGTACATTTTTTTAACTCGTTCGTACACTTTTTTGTCTCGTTTGTATCACGATGTCACTTGTTCATAAGACTTTATGTTTTATTTTTATTTTCAATTGCGATAATAGGCTATTTTTTTTTGTCTCCTCGTTATATCGAATCCTCTTTATTCAAGTACATGGTACTTTAATTAGTAGATAAAGCAGACATGTTCCAGGAAGAATAGGTGAATCCAGCATTATCGCTGTGACGTCATAATTATGATGACGTCAACTATGTTCAACTAGCAGCAATTACATTATAGCGTAGCACTGACATATAAAATTATGCAACATTTCATGAACCTGCGAATTCTACGTCTACATTACTTTGTGACAAAACGTCATGCTTAACACCACAATTAAACGACAACTTAAGAAGGTGACGCACAACTCAAAGACGTCGATGATAACTATTAACATTGTTTATGAAAATAAAATATTTTATTAAAAACATTAATTGAGCATTCTATTCATACATACCTGTCCATAGCTATACAAACATGACTGTGTCAGTAAATAACGTTTAGCATCATACTCATATAAAAGTCGGAATCTACAGTAAAGCATTACACTCATATAAAAGTCAGAATCTACAGTTTAGCATTACACTCATATAAAAGTGAGAATCTACAGTTTAGCATTACACTCACACAATAGTCAGAATCTACAGTTTAGCATTACACTCACACAATAGTCAGAATCTACAGTTTAGCATTACACTCACACAATAATCAGTAGCTACAGTTTAACATTATACTAACAATAATCAGGAGCTACAGTTTAGCATTATACTCAACCAAAAGGCAAGACTGTATTTTAGCATGACACTCAACCAACACTTAACTCACATAATACTCTTTGTAGCTAAAGTTTAGCATATCACACAAACAATATTCAGTAACTTCAGTTAAGCATCAGTAACTACAGTTTAGATTAACAATACTTATAGTAACTAAAGTTTAGCAATGACTGAATTGGAACTCGTCTGTGGGTACAAATCTTTCTTCATGGTCTGAAGCATATCGCGGTCCATACCGGAAGGACCGAGAGCCCGGAGAGCTATCTGTTTGGCGGTGTTGAGCAGGTTCGCTGGCTCAACTGCCTCGTCCACTATCCCAAGTTCCTTAGCTCTCGTGGCTGGAATCATCTTGCCGAACAGGACAGCTTCCCTCATGGCATCCATCCGGTCAATTTTAAGTCTACAAATAAAAATTGAAAAAATGTTTATGACCATGATGGTTTAACATATGTTAAATCGATATTTAAAAATGATGAGTTTCCGGGTGTCAAAATAATTATTTTTCAATCAGAACTAAAAGGACAGAATACAGAAAGCCTATGCACTTCTGTGATATTGGATTGTAATCATTTAAGAATCATTGTCCCAATGTAGGCAAAATACTAGAGAAATTTAATGAATGCAGCAATTCCCCATTAACTTTGTTTGATATATAACTGGGGCAACACAAGACCAGAGCCTTGTACACCTAGGGTTCAAATCACGCTGTTTTTGTTTGTAATTGTTGTTGTTGTTGTTGTTGTTGTTGTTGTTGTTGTTGTTGTTGTTGTAATTGTTGTTGTTGTTGTTGTTGTTGTTGTTGTTGTTGTTGTTGTTGTTGTTGTTGTTGTTGTTGTTGTTGTTTGTTGTTGTTTGTTGTTGCTGTTGTTGCTGTTGCTGCTGCTTTCGTTGCTGTTGCTGCTGCTTTTGTTGTTTTGGTCGTGTTGTTTTTGTTGTTTTGATCGTTTTGTTTTTGTTGTCGTATTTTTGTTGGTGGTGTTGTTGTTGTTGCTCATTCCATCTTTATTTTTTATGAAAGTTTCGGAAAATATGTTTTTTCCTGTTTAAAAACGATTTATCAAAGTTTTTGTCATAACGAAGAGAAAACTCCCTAATGTTATGTTTTTTTTATACTATTGTTGTTAATGTTGTTGTTGTTGTTGCTTTAGTTGTTGTTTTTGTTGTTGTTGTTGTTCATTTCATCTTTATTTTGATAAATTGTTTATAACAGTTTCGGAATATCTGTTGTTTCCTGTTTATAAACGATTTATCAAAGCTTTAGTCGGAACGAATGTAAAACTTCATAATGCATATTCACATATTCTTGTAGTGGTACATGGATCTTCAAACACAGCTAGGTTCACTTTTAGTTGGAATCAATATAAATAGGATCTACATATATATATATAACATATATGTTCAGGATTACATGAAATATCAATCTGTTATAAATAATACATTTTATAGACGTGATATCGATATTTGACCGATATAAAAGTACCCTTAGTTGCATAGCCACTGAGTCAAATATTCATTCTCATACTTTTAAACCAGGCTGGTAATCAGGCTAAGTAAATGTGTTCAATACTCGAATCCAGAACCTCTGGCTTACTAGTCTTACGCTCTATCAAATCATCTAAAGACAAATTCTCCCTGGCCAAGTCGGCAGGATGCGGCTAGCTTTTGATCAGGGTGACAGTTTGCCCCTCCAGGAAAGAACTCGTCCCGAGTTTCTTCAGGAATCAAAGCGATTCTTCTTAGAAAGCGCTGAGCATTTTTGTCAACACTTCCCATGTCCCTCCGTGGGCGCCAATGTAACAAAAGTTAATATTTCTCAGTGTCTCCGCTAGGGGTCGAACCCGTGACGTCTGGTTTACTAGTCGTACGCTCTACTGAATGATCTTAAGAGAAATCCTCCCAAGCCAAGTCGGTAGGAAGCGGCTAATATTTTACCAAGATGGCATTTGTCATCCCTTCTTTAAATTATATTGTTATCATTAATGAATCATTCTTACCGAAGAATTTCAAATCCACTCCGTGGCATTGACATTTTTTTGTGTATCTCATTCCAACTAATCCAGCCTCGTTTGGAATTCATGACGCAGTAGTCATGTGATTTTGCCAGGAAAGCCCCACCGGCGAAAGCATGCCCTACAGAATGAAAAAAAAAGAATGGCAGTTTAGCGTCTTACCCGGCGGACTGTGGTCAGTTTCCGTAGCAATGTGTTTGTTATATTACGCGCAGGGGTTTCCTTTCATATCTGGCCGGTGAAAATACAAATGTGGATGCAAATTTCTTGCGATTTTAAATAGTTATGGACATCTAGTTTTGGTAGAAACTTCTTTTAACATACCGAAACATTATATGTTCACAACTGTAGTATTGTATACACAGATCTGTAACATTTTAAAAGATATGTTCATTTGTCCTAAAATTCAAGGAAACCTATCTATACAATTTTAATCAAGGCCCGACAAAAGTTAACAGAGTCACCGTAAGTCACATCCATGTCAAGCAATACACGGATGTTGAAGTTCACTCATGCGTTCCAACCCACACCCCTCCCCACACCCCCAACACCCGACCCTCGTTCAAGGAAAGACATGTTTATTATTGAAAAGACATGTTTGTATTTGTAACAAAAAAAAAACAAGTGGTACCGTTGATCGCAGCCACGGTTGGGAGCGAGAAGTGCCGAATACGCCATTGTACTTTTTGGAGGCTCTCTCGAAACTTCTTGACCACATCATCTGTCTCTGACTTCATCCAAGGAAGGTCAAGGCCATTGCTGTAGAACTTCCCTTCGCCGGTTGTGATGACCGCCTTCACGTCTTTGTTTCTGGAATGATCCCATAATGATATTTTTATGGCATTTCTGGAAGTCTTTCGTAATTTTTGCGATATTAATGTCACAAAAACAGTTGGTATCATTCTTCAAGTTACAAATCAAATAGAAGATCACAAAGACAGATGAGCGACGCATAAATCTGAGTCAAAGATAGCACGTGTTTAAATAATAGACAAATTCGGTTACGAATGCGCTTCAAGCGTGCAATCGAATGTCCTTGGTGAAGACACAACTTTCGACATCATTTTTGCAGGCTAACTGAGGATTTATTTAAGTAGCATATATAGGATATATCGTAACTTGTTATATATTACACACATATATATATATATGATAAACTGATATAATATAATATATATGATATATCTTTAAAAGGTATCTCTTTATCGATAGGAGAAGCGTCCAGAGTCGAGTGACATATGAAATATACAATTTCGTCACATCGTTGTACAGGTAAACAATACAAATCGCTCACTCAGTCATAGCTTGACAAAGGGACCGGTCGGTCTTGAAACGTTGCGACACGTTTAATGCGTACATGGTTTGTGTATAAAGTAAAACTTTGATATAACATATTTTCAAACTGATGAATATTATAGAAGACATACATATATACTGTATAAATCAAACATCTCATATTATTCTATGAAATACGTTACTCTTTGAATATATGCTGAGTTAGCTTAGCAAAACGTTTTGCAAGTCTCAATTTATTTTAGACAATTTTCAATAATTCTGTTCCTTTACAGATCGATATTTTCTACATTGACCGGTATTTTTAGTTTCACCTCATTGTATCTCTCACATAACGTCCTATATACTGACCTTTCTACTTCGTCATTTCGGTCACGTTGTGACCTTTCCCGCATGTCGTCCTATATACTTACCTTTCTATTTCATCTAGAATGTTCCACATTTCGGTGACGAATATTTGATTGAGTCGGTTTTCACCGTTCTGCATTGTGATGATGGCGATTCCATCTTCTGTGTATTCCACCCTCACGACCGGCATTGTGACGAGCAGACGACAGGCCTAGGTGATATCGTATTTAGGCGCATGTGTTTACATGCGTTCTGTATCATCAACGGCCGCTTTGTTGACCTTAATATCTTTTCGGTTAAGGGAGTAATCAATGTTTTTTAAGGATGAGTCTCCATTTAGGACCGTCAGTTCAAACTTTGATCCATTGGAAACAACTTTTATAGAACATAATTAAGAGGATATGTTTTATATTAGTGGTCCATTGTATCAGTGTTGTGAAATAAAACAAAAGCTTAACAAAATACGATCACTATTTGTAACATAGTGAAAGAGGTTATTGATTTAAACATTGAGGGCAAGTTTTAAAGAAAAAATGGCGGGTTGTGAAAAATAAAGACTTGCCAAGCCGCATGAATCTGCGTAAAATTGATTTTTACTGTTTAGAAATTGTTTGTTTCATACCAAGGTAACTATTTTAACCGGTCTTCCTCCCACGACCCAACCACTCTCCTTCACCCCCTCTCATTGCTTCTTTCTTCCGTGTTGCCTTCCGTTACAGCTAGATTTCCACTGTGATCGGTCTTTTTCCTGTCTGTCTCCCTTAGAACGTATTTATTGCTATAAGACCCACATCCGCAATGATCGTCTTCTCTTTCTGCGCCCTTAGGGTTCAAGTGAGGTGCAATGGCGTGCGATACTGTATTGGTTTTCCACTCATTGGTGCGGACTCATACTGTGCACTGGTTGATCTGTCGCTACAAAGACAGGCTACTATATACGGCTCCTATATACGAATATCTGTCGAAGATTGGTTCAACAAACTTCGATACTTCAGGAGTTACGGTCACTTTCGCTCTTTGCACCTATGGGATTTATCATAGCAAAGTCGAAGGCTCAGTGTGCACCACCTTGTGCATGATACGAGACTAGTTTGATCCTTTTGATGTTCATCAAAAGAATCTCGCGGCCGCGTAACGGTAAAATTGACTGGCTTTGAAGTCTGGTACCGCTCCTCAGTAATCGTCAGAGGACATGTATCGGCCTAGCGATCAGTAAGGTTTATTTCACAAGAGACCAATCAAAAACCTACGTAACTTCATGCCTTCAATTTTGCAATGACATATTTCAAGGGTGTAGAGGACGTGAGTGGGCGTAACCCTTGGGGTAATATTGAGGATGCATCCACCCAAAAATCACTCTGAAGGTGATATTGCTTGAAAGAGACAGCAGTCTGCAGACCTACTTAGTGTACAAATAATCTCTAATCATTTAATATAAATATATGTGTGTGTGGGTGGGTGTTTTGTCCCTTTCGTTGTTGGATCGGAAATGTATGGACTGATTTTGTTCACCGTTCGTAGCTATAAAACTCGTCTTAATATTTCTGAAGAACACACTTTTTTTATAAAAAAAAAGGAAAAGCAGTCCATATTTTGGTCGTTTTGTCATTTTTGTCAACGACAAACACAAATCAGCTGAACTTTGAAGTTTAAAATGAACTCTCACGTGTTCCATTTAATATATTCGTGTTAATGATCATGTAATCACATATAGCTAATACAAATGGACTAGAAGATATAGAGCATCACTTCATTGATGCTTCATTGATGTTGCAACACATACAATGTAACACAATCAACACAAAATCAAAGGTTAAAGTCATCTTCTAGAACACGTTTCAACAATGTCCGCCCTTAAGTCCTATACCTTATACTTTGCTCACAGCAACATTTTTCTTAATCGTGCACATTAAAATCATTGGAATATTTGATCTTTTGGGAAACGTTAGAGCGGTTTTAAGTTCAATAACTCGCTGACAGACACAAACCTCCAAAAGAACTTGAGGATTTTTACCATCCGCCGAAATATAATTTCGGATGCAAATACTGCATTCATTTTGCCCATTTTAACTCTCGCAATAAGTTATAAACTCCATGTTTGCCTAGTGTTAATTTCGCTCTTCGAATGTAATTTCTATTTATAGCAATCTGTGTACTTATATTTGCTGTCGTGACAATTCGCCCCCAATACCAAAGACAAAAGTTAAACGGCACTGAGCGGCAAACATTTCCGTGTAAGATTTGTTTTCTTTATTCATGAAAATATATACATATCATATGTGTCAGAACGTTTTAAGTTCGACAAGTCCCTTTTCAAGCTTTGTCTGACAATTTGACGAAGGGATGGGTCGATACGTTCGTTGTTTGTGTATATATTACAGTAATTCCCCAGTATAAGTTTCAATCATGGTGGTCAATTCAGTTTTCAATTGTCCTTGCTGCGTCAACTTGGTCATTTAACGAATCAATACAAGACACAATGGAACATGACATTAAATGTTTGAATACTCCGAGAGATGAAATTGTTCCCACAAAACAGTCCAATTTGGATATGTTTTCCTCGGGTAGGACCTGCCCCCGTTGAAACCCTGTTAAAGTACCGTACATATCTGTACTCTGCTTCCCGGACTGTGCTAAAATCGGTGGGTTATACAAATTTAAATTTAAATTATATTTTATTAACTAATACTGATTAAAACGCATCAAATAATAAACGTTATCTGTCTGCATTCATTTCAAAATCAATATTTGTATGTATATTGCAGTGTTTGTTTCAGATGAATGTCTACATTTTACTGCACACGTGTTACATACATTCGGCTGTCCTACCGAAACCCCGTTGTATCGCCACCCCGTTATACCGCCAAAATTGGCACAACACAAAATGTGGCAGTATAACGGATGACTAAGAACTGTATATATTCAAGATTTCCCTGTTTACAATATACGTTGAAAGTCACACTTTCACAAATATGATTGCAAATATCATAACTTTGACTTCTTGTCGTCAATGTTCATCACAGTCCTAGGATATAAATCCTTCTTCATTATCTCAAGCATATCTCGGTCAATCCCAGTGCGTCCTAAAGCCCCGATCGCCAGTCGCTTAGCAGCGCCCATAAGGGTAGGTAACTCTCCAATCTCGTCCACCAGACCGAGGCTCTTTGCTTCTGGGCCTGGAATTGATCGAGCAAACAGGACTGCCTCTCTGACTGCGTTGGTATTCTTCATTTTATTACTATTGAAAAATAAAATAAGAATAAGAAAATAAATATGCTCTTTTACTTCTATTCGTATAAGGTATCTGTTAAAATTATATCTTTCATGGTTCTATAACGACAGATTTGTTTTTTCCTCTGTCGGATAATTCAAAACGTTCAATGCAGGCTAGTGTGTGTGTTAAAATGTAGCATATAACCTCAATATTAAAATTAAACCTAAAGTATGGTATTGTCACCGAAAACCTCAACCTCGATCCTTATAAGTCATACTTAAATACCCCAATTAAACATCGTTAGATATTTAATTTTGATATTTTGAACTTGTACTTAGTAATTATTGGTTTGAAGCTCGTATGCTTATCCGTAAAAGAGAAATGTAGGCCTGTGTGACTTAGGTATATAAATGAACTTAAAACAGGTAGCTGGTCAAAGTGGTGGCTGGCCTTCAAAGGGAAGCTTAAGCTGTCACAATGATGGGAAGAAATGTTTATACAGTGTTAAACCAATCAGATCGAGGTATGCTGGTATTTCTTGTACAAAAGGAGACTAGGAAGGACAAAGAGCTGCATCGAAGCCTCCTATAGCCAATTTGGGTATTTGCATGTACGGGTGTTGCATGAGCATCACCAGAAAACAACGAAACCAAAGCCACGTCCGACAACAAAGCCCTGATTTGGATCTCGACCTCCACCCCTACGGAGTCCAACTGTTAGTGAATTATCTGAGGAAGAAGGTAGCAGTGAGGAGGAATGAGATAGTTGGGTGACGGTGCCTCCAGTAGAGCGGACTGTGATCGACGATGTTACAGACGTTAAAGAGCCATGAAAGAGGCTACGGAAGAACCTTCGGTGGGGTAAGTCCCCTACCGAAAAGGAAGGATCTCTGGATGGAAGGAAAAAGGATGACGACACTGCCTGACATCAATAGAAATGAGAAATTTACAGATCATTAGGCTCTGACAGACTTTACTTTCGAAGTGCAGAGAGGTGACAGCGGTCATTTTGTTGGACATGGAGGAAGTTAGCCTGCCTGACAACGCCAAGCAATAAAGCATTTTCTCCGAAATAGATAGATGTTGTAAAATATCTGCTGGAAAATATAGGATATGTTGCATCTTCAATAATGGTAGGGTAGATAGTTCTATGCTTAGTGGTAATTCAAGTGATTCTGTCTAATTATAGCTTCAATTAACATTAGCGGTTGAAGTGTCATACCACCATGTTAACTTGCCCCCTTGATTGACCCTTACCTGTTGCAAGGACGAAAACCCATGAAAACAAACATTGTTTGATAAGGGTCTAGTTCGATATATCTAACATGTCGCGTTTTTTAGCCAATCAAAATTCACGTTAGATTCGTTGCGTTACTAAATATGAAATAGTATAAAAGCGATTTTAGTTTAACAACCAAGTTGAAAATTATACATATATTTATTTGAATATTTACCTTAGGACCTCCCGAGTAGCCGCTGGTATGCGTAGTCCGACCCGAGTCTCATTCATAGAAAACCAGCCTCGCTTTGAATTCATCACTATGTAGTCGTGTGTAATAGCCAAAAAGGCACCTCCGGCAAATGCATGCCCTTAAAAGATAGTGATTGATAATGAAAAGCCGTAACACATGCAAAAACTAATTAAACATGGCGAGGTTGATTTTTAGTTGGGTTTATTTTATTTATCAACTTTTAACCAATGTACAAAGAGCGAAAAATGTCAAGCAAGAAACAAAACACTTAATCCTTCATTCTGGTAAGAGATTAAAAAAATATTCTTTCTTTTTAATTTTTTTTTTTTTTCAATTTTTCGCATTAACCGGAAAATATGTGAAACAGACAAAATATAAATCAACAAGAGTGTTCTGAGAGTAAATTTTCAGATGGGCTAGACCGGGATTCGAACCCAGGACTACAGATTGTTATACAATTGATCTAACCGATTGAGCTACCTGATCAAAATGAGGTGTCCTCGCAAAAATGTGCTTAACGAAGTTAAAGGGAGGTAACTGTATATATAGGAAAAGCCACACTGCAATGTGACAGGTATCCTTAAATTTGAACACAATAATCCATATATCAACCAGAACATGACTGCAGCTTGACGGTCGTATCGGATTCCGTTTCGATGGGTTACAATAGACTGAAAACGAAAGTTATAGCTGTGCAGCAAACAGGTCATTCATTTCCCGCCATTACTCACCATTTAGAAGTGCCACTGTCGGAAGGGGAAAGTGAGTCATTCTCCATAACAAACTCTCGATTTCGGACCGGAAGTGGAGGTGTACCTCTTTTGACTGCTTCATCAACCATTTTAAATCTACCCCATTGCTGTAGAATTTACCTTCGCCAGTTGTTATCAAAGCCTTGCAGCTCTTATTTCTGGAATGTTTAATCAAATTATCTAATTCTATTTGAACCAAGCTATGTGCATACAAAGTTTACCATCTATCATAACCTGAAAATTGTATGTTGTTTTTTTACAGTATTTGTTTTTTTTAGGGGTTTGTTTAAATGAAAAAGAAAATGATTTGTTACTGATATCACAGAAAATAATAACAAAATTACTGATAATAAAATCGGCACCCTGCGGTAGCCTTTTCCGTCTTTGCGTATTGCAGAGTTATCTTCTCTTGGGAACAGGTATTGATTGTTACGTCATTAGTCTGTGTGAGAAAATACGTCGTTTTCTCAAAAATTGATGACGTTTCTCTCACAAAAAAAGTGATGTAACAATCAATACCTGCTCCCAAGAGAAGATAACTCTGCAATACGCAAAGACGGAATACATTATGAATGCGTAATACCGATTGTATTGGTAATCGTTATGAAATTTGTGGTATATCTAATAATATTATAATAATTCGAGATTATCAATACCGCTTTATCACAACCTTATTCGTAAGTCGTCTGAAAGCAGTTTACAAATTATTATCTGTGGTTATGCGGCATTTGCAAACCAGCCAATATCTTTCTCAACTTATTGGGGAGCATACAACCGGTGCTGCCATTTAGGCGCTCACAGCTAGCATTCAACAATTCCAGCACTGCCCAACCACGTACTTTTTTACAGCTGACTTGACTTGAACAAGCGGAATAAAGTATCTTGTTCAAAGATACAACACGGTGCCGTGACTCGAACCCGCAACCCCTCGGTCACGAGCCCGGCGTCCTACCTCTTGACTACCGTGCATCTTAAATGGCAAAAATAGCCCAATTGAAAGGGTTTGATCCGTTAAAACTTTTAATAACTATACCTGACCATCCGCAATGAATAGAAATTCAATAATACACTTGAGGGTTTTTTATGCGCATGCCAATGTATATTTGCTTACATGTTAAAGATTATCTTAAATATTTCTTTTTTAAACTTTGTGTAGACTAGTTACTAAAATATTATCAAAACAAATACTGAAATATTTGTTCCGACATGTTTTACCTTAGCTCAGCATGATACAATGATACAATCCCCGCAAGAAAATATACAGCACATGCCATTTGATTAAAGTTTTAACACACTCCGAACCATGTATGTCATGTCTTAGAACAATCTACATGTATATTAAATAGTTCTGGTGTCAAGGATGATGAAAATAAGTATTATATTAAAGGTGAAATTATTTGCTATCAATTTTGTTTATAAATGAAAGCGTCAATACGTAGTATTCGAGTAAGTTAACATGAAACATAGGTTTTCGTTTAGATCGGTTATATATACAATTACATGGATCAAGTATGTAGGAGTTACCTCCCCTTATTCGCACTCTTGCTCACCTGAGAACCTTGTCGAGATTATCATTGAGAATCTCTAGAAATTCCGCGTTCAAGCGATTCTCTCCATTTTTCATCGTGAGAATGGCAAATCCATCGTCAGTAAACTCTACAGAGACTTTGTTCGACGACATTGCGGATAAAATCACCTCCGGTAAACCTTCCAAACCTTATGACTTTACACTTGCCTTGTGTACAGTAGACGCCGTATCTAAATTTAGTAACACTATTTTCACACTTTGGCCGACCATGTGATACGTAGCTGTAAATAGGTCGGGAGTACTCCTTATTTTTACATGATATATTCAGACACTGTTTCAGTATTTGTAGAGAAAATAACTAAACAGGTAAACAAGAAAATGCAGCAAAGCTGCTGGACACCAAATCTTTTCCAACAACCTCGAGGGAACGGATCCTGCATACTTGAATTTACATAATTATAATTATTTTAAAAATTGTAGATGACATTAATTTTGTCATCCAGAATATTCCGTTCACGCTCAATATCCTTTCATTTTGCACAATTGTCACTCAATAATTGTCCAACAGCGAGCTAATGTACATTTTTAAACGCATGTGTATATGTCAACGATTAGGTAATTAAGTCATCTTCTGAGAAAGAGAAGCAATATCAACCGTAATCTGTGTTAAAGCGTCAATCTTCTTTTATGTACTAATCTATCATTCTACACCCAGCAATAAATATTTTAAAATTAAAGCGTATCAATTATTTTGTAAGGATACACTTGCCATCCAACCTGGTGTTATACAAGGTTGTCTTTTTCGCCCACCGTATTTAAATTGAATAATTATATCTGTAGAAATAAACTAAATAGTGTTCCCTTCTACACATAATTGATTTATCATTCCATACCCAGAGTCGCGTGGGCTTTAAAAGAACTTGGATTTGAACTAGATTTACATGGCGTATGTCGTAAGTGAAGCAGAAGACGCTTACCCTTCCGGATCACCTGGGTCGTATTCATGAAATCGTTAGCATGCTCAAGCATGGATTTTGTGCTCAAACAATTTTCCTTGTAATTCACTTGAAGCATGTTAACCAATGTAAAAGTCAAATGTTAACATTCAGAACAGTATTTGGCTGTAAGTCTCTTAAAAAAAGAGTCTTATTCTCCTTGTACTTCGTCTTGAGTTCGAATTACAGCTTTGTTGTTACTTAGATATTCTTTTGTTGTATTATTTTTTCCCAAATGTCCACACCACGTTTTCTCAGACATTGTTTTCGCATAAAGTGGCAAGGTTTCCCGGAATATTGGTCTTGTGAAAGTAGGTAATAGTAGATATAATCATACACTGTAGCAAGCCAACTTAACATTTAATACCTTCAGAGGGGTCGAGAATGTATTTGATTTATCTTTGAATATAATATGAATATCTAAAAGAAATAAAGATAATTTTAATTTTAATAGAAATGTATTAAAATGAAGCAAATATTTTTCATATCAATTTCGTAATAGAGATATTTTAATGTAGATTAATAAAGATCTCTATTTATTATGATATACGATAATATGAGATATTTCTATTGTTTATACGATATCTCCGAAGTTAATAGAAATCTCGATTATTTTATAAAACATCTTTTTGATTAGTACCGACATATCTTTTAGGTATTTTACCCTTTCACCACTGTAGACTATAATGGACTTGTCAAAATAAATGTACGGCAGAGTCTACTAAAGTTACCAAGGGGTGAAAGGGTTAATGAGAAGTTCACTTGCAATACAGACTTACTGTAGACAGAGTCGCGTCATACCGGGAATATACGAAAAGTCACTTAATCAGATTTTAATTAAGTTAATTTTTACTTCCGATCCTCCGTATATCACTGTTTTAGTTGTGCAAATGATGATGCAAGTCCCACCTTATAAGGTAAAAATATGTAAAGATAACTAAAAAATTAAGCTTAATTCGTATTTGAATTTATTGTAAAAAAACCATAACATTATCACAGTACATTTGTATTTCACTAATGCAGAAGCATTGAATCTTCAGTTGTTTTGGATGTGTAGCAATCCGCTTGCCAATATTTCTTGAAAGATATAAGATGATTGAAAATGTTAAACAATGTCACAATGGCAAATGAAAGTCCAATGTAAAGATTGTACTCAACAGCCGGCTTGATCAGCTTTCAAAAAGTGATTTGTATCAATTTTGAAACTCTTGAAGACGTCCATCAGCTCATCAATCTTGGCCTGAGGAAGAGATCGTTCCCTAGACATGATCCAGGCCTGCTCGAGATGGCTGAGTCCGAGGATATCAATACATGAGTAAATGAGTGTATAGGAGGTATAATCTGTCTTCAGGACCCAGTAGTTTCCGTAAGGTGTGTCTGTTGAGAAACGGAGAAATTGTGTTTTATTAGTCCGTGTTGTTTTACCATCTTTATGAAACATAAAGTAAAAATGTTATATTCACTTTTTATATCGATTTTTCAGGGTTCGAACTATCAGAGTTTTATTTACTAAGATAAAGAAGAGACTTGGCCGGGACCGGAGAAATACTTCGAGATAAACGGTGTCTTTCAGTTAAAAGAGTTCGAGATAACGAGGTTCGACTGTATTTGATATGATTTTTCTACGCTCGATTATTTTGAATCCTTCAATCTGCATGTTGTTTTTTTATTTTTATTTCATGTTATTGAAAATATGCCATTTACAAATAATGACGTAAAGTGTTGTTGAAAACATATATGAAAACATATATTTATCACAAGATGTCAATAAACATGTCCGGAATTGTACTTGTCGACAGTTGACACGAATACATTTGATATTAATTTCTGTCTAGTATATTGTTGTGAATATTTCCTTTTCTTCTTCTGTAAACTAATTTTACTGCCATAAAATATGTTTATCGTGATTTCAATGGCGATGATCATATTGAATTCAAATTTGTTTCCGCGGGGTTCTTATTTTCGCGTTTTACATATTTCTTGGTAGTTAAATACTCCTTCAAACGAGTTGATGTCAAATCAGACAAACTGATATGCTTCTGCTTTCTATTTGAAAAACACTAAAGATCAAATTTATTTATCTTATCGGTTATTTTAGTGAGTAAACATGACGTATCAGGATCTATAACTGGAAGTCAGTTGTAATTGAAAAGAAACAAATGAAATGGATGATTGACGTGTATGTTAATTACTTACGGGCTGCGAATCTGATCTTGAGTTTGGAGGGAGAGTTCTGGGGGTCATTCTGATAAGCGTCACCAATAGCTATTGAGGGTTTGCCTGTTTTGGGGCTACAACAGAAAAAATATTAATGAAACCATCTGATAATCTTATTATATTTCCATTTTCAAATGGAGTCATATTATGTTCTAAACCCAAAAGTGGGTAGTGATGGTGCATGTACCAGAGGCTGGATTGAAATTTCCGTGCGGAAGGATGTGAGTGTTTCCAAATCGTTAAAGAAAGAAAAACATAAGAAATTCAGTTATCTTTCTCCTTTTCTAAAATCGTTAATAGCAAACTCATTTTCTTATCTCGTTTCTATTTTACTGCGACAGAAAATTGTATATTAAAACTTGTACTGCCTTCTGTTGCGGTTATTCTGTTGACACGTAATGATGTTGATCATGGTATTTATGTACTCACTCAAAGCCCTCGTTGTGAACGTAGATGTGGTTGTTGGCTTGAAGGGTATAGTTGGCGGTGATGCACCTCTGTCCCTTCTCGTAGCTAGTCGGGAATCGGTAAAGTTCATACCAAATTCCGAGGTACTGCAAGGAACGAAGTCATTATTAGCAAAAGTTCAAAGTAAACGCAAACGTATTGTTAACACATAGTGATTTAAGCACTAGATGGTCATTAGTACTGTGAGTGTGCAGTTAGTCTAAGCACGTTATTTCTCAGCAGGCACGCGACCAAAATTCAATAGGTTGAAGTTTAGTCGATCACCGTCCGAGTTGAAAAATTGCTGTTGTTTCAATTGTTAAAGAAGTGTTGTTTATCTACTATATATAAAGAGAAAGTTCTTTGTAAGCATACAATTTTTGTACGTACGAGTTAAAAATCTCTTTTGGAACGTTTGTCGAATTGTAATATACATTTATTTGACCGAGGATTAGGGGGGTGATGGTGTTGCCCGACCCAAAAAATATTTTATCGGCTTTAAACGATTTTTATAAGACGGTACAATTCGTAATGCTGTACAGAATATTGGCTCAGATTGTTAATCTGTATCATTAAACCAATCTAAACATTTGTATTTTTATTTCAAATTCGACCGTCTTATAAAAATCGTTTAAAGCCGATAACATATTTTTTTTGTGTCGGGCAACATCAGTTCCCCCTAATCCTCGGTCAAATAAATGTATATTGCAATTCGACAAACGTTCCAAAAGAGATTTTAACTCGTATGTACAAAAATGGTATGCTTACAAAGAACTTTCTCTTTATAAATAGTAGAGCTGATTGCACATAATCGAATTAGTAAGTGCCAGTTGGCTGCTACTGAAATCTGAACTGTTTGACTTGTACAGACTACGGTCATATCAAAAAGATAACTGTTTAATACACAGTAGCGTTTTCTTTTTCAATTTCATGTACGTAAAACTTTGTTAAGCTTTTGGTAAGATAGATTCAAGGACTAAAGCTAGCATTGAAGTCCATCGCGAACAAAGACAGCGTCCATGATAACTTCAGGCCCGAAGTCTGGTTTAGTATTTTAAAGGTCGACTTCAGGACTGAAGCTATCACGGAAGCACGAAAGTGGCAAGTCCATTGATCGTAAGAAACCATATTATAAAATGTACATAAATATATATATTTGTATAATTAAGACTTGTTTATTTCTCGGTCAATCGAATCGTCCTAAGAAAGCACGATAAATCCTATTAACAAAGTGCATTTTGAAAATAAATATCGTTGGAACCTTGATCGCAAAAACATAACCACGAAAATAAGCGGTTTACATCGAATCCAATTTTAAAACAAAAGTACCAATGAAAAAGATATAAATTAGAGTTTAATGCGTTTATTAAGGAACAACCGCGAAATATGTATTCCTGAGATTCATGAAAATTAGGAGATGCACAGTCAGTCAAATTAAAATAAAAGATAATAATAAAATATATTTTGAATCTATGTCTAGTCAAATATATCTGCAAATGTAAACACAACTTTTAACAAATGCTAAAGAACATTACTCATTGTAGATTTTTGCTCGGGCTGCTTTCTTTTGTCTCGTTTCGGAAATTTGTATAAAAGCAAGACATTTTTTCTTTAGTGAGGCAACGGAGGGCGGGAGCCTGATAGTTCTCTACAGTATTTTTTTTATTTAGATTTTAATTGGAATAGTTTTAGAAATCAGTGTTTCAATTTGAACTTTGATAGGTCAATTATCTAGTGAACATTATCTAGCTGTTCTATAGAACTGCACCGTTATAAAGACATACCTGGCTGAGATCAAAGCTTTGCTGCGTGGTTGCAGATGGGCATCCTCCGAAACTGAAAGACTGTGCTGAGGTCAGGGCAATAGCCGCCGCTAGAAGTAAAGCTTGTCCGATCATTGTCGTATTGATGATGTCGTGTTGGTCAGTTCCTGTGAAAGTCTGCACACTTTTCATAGCGTTCCCACCCGCCTTATATAGGCAGTTGGGAACTCCGGATTCACATGTTTCGGAGCGTGTTTCAAAATGGAAACTATACAGGTCAAGTTATGAAACATTTTCTTCGGAGTATTGACCATAAACATCCATGTTCACATTCCAGAGTTGTGAAGGACAACGCTTGGACTTGGTCTGATAAGGTCAAAGAGATATGTTTGACCGACAGTCTTTACAAGGCCCTCCGTCTCGGGCATGTGCAATAAGCATGTTAGGGTCATGAAATATTCCTTGACTAAATTGATGTTATAATAGCTGAAGAATACCCGTACTTCTGTTAAAACAGTAACTATCAATTGGAAACACTTTTATACCGGCATGGCATTACCTTAGAGAGACAGTTGCGGAACTTGATAATGATAAGTATGAAGTAAAAATGGTAAAGCAATCAACGGCAGTGTTCTGAGAGAATAAAGCAACGGACACAAAACGGGACTCGAACCCAGGACCTCCGATCACAATTATTTCGCTCTTATCAATTGACCGGATCAGAGGTAGTTTCCTAGCCCTTTTTCTATTACAGTTGAAATATCTTGCAATGATCAAGGATGAACTTCGAATCTACATTTGATAGTATCATGGAAAATTTGATACATTGTAAAACTAACACCACTAAACCCATGTAAAAATGACACTGAGTTTTGTATGAAATGATTGCAAAAAATATCTCCCTAAGTGAAAAGAAATAAATCATGATAATATTGTATTCAGTATTTGAGCCTTGGTGCAATGTGCAATTTGTTTCTTGTAAAAAAAAGGTTGTTGATTTGTTTTAAGCTAAACAAAATCCTGTATTTCGCTCAAGTGACAGTTTTTAAATGTTATTTACATATCAATACCAATGAATTCACAGTAGACTTTTAGATGTTCGTAAATGAAATGATTAGTTCATACATACATATTGTTGTCCTAATCTAAACAGCATGCAAACCACTAGAGAATCATAATGCATAGTTGCATTGTTTGGGCGTTGTGTAGGACCACTACCTGTTTATATCATGGTCGAGCTTTATTGTAAAATAAACTTTGTAACTTTGCTTTTACTATTATATTAAAATGGACAATTCTTCATAACACAAAGAAACACGTGAAATGCAAACTGATATGAAATTGAATTCGTTTGTAACAGTCATGTTTATCCACACTCCACCTCGCCAGACAAACTCGACACCGTTCGTACCGCTGGCCTTGTGGTTGACCTTCACTATGGATAGGACTGAAAGATAGGGCTCAAACAACCCTCCACACATACCGTGGTTGTGAGGGTGCATGTTTGGGAAGTAGCCAATTAAGTACCTATGTCCTTAGATGGGAGTACAGTAAGTACACTTTACACCCATAATATAGCCGAGGATGGCCGTGGCCTTGTACCTGGAATTCATCCAGGCGTAGTTTATATGACATTTTTTTATAGGCAACTTACATCTCTGTTGTATTCTTCTATATATTTCGGAATACATTTGACAAAGATTTTTATTCTTTTAGCCTTAAGTATCACTGATGAGTTTAAATAGAGGAAGTAGCCATTTGGTGCAGTCAATATTTACCCTATTTGACTTTCTGCATCAGCAATTTATCTATCTTAATACGTTCTTTTCGATATTTTTGGTGGGTTTTTTTTGTGATTGTCATTGTCTTTGGCATTTCTTACTAAACTGAAATGCGAAGAAACGTTTGCAATTCCTATGCAAGCTAAGTAGTTTAATTGTGTTGTAATGTAATTATTTACCAACATAAACGATAAACGATATACAGGCTGAGTATGTTTAGCATGAAAATAATTAACATGGGTACTGTAAAATCAGATATTTTCGTGGGGACCAAATTTCGTGCTTTACCGAAAAGAACACCATTTCGTTGGTACATGAATTCGTGGAATACGAGAACAACCTCCAACGGAGAAAAGCTTATAATTACTTCATGGACCAATGAATTAGTGGATGAATGTTACCCACGAAATCGACGAAATTAAAAACCCTACGAAAATGACTAATTTTACAGTTATATATATTTATACTTTTTTTATCATTCCTTTCGATCTATGCTGTAACTGTTTTAAGTTCGTTTAATAGTAGACTTCTTGTAGATCATGAATGTATATGCCTTTTGGATGCACACGTATATTAATTGCATATATATCATTTGCATTAACATAAATATCAATTGTTGTTACAAAGATAGCAATGTCATGTACACAAATATTATATCTCATGTACAAATACATCGATTTCATTTACAAATGCATCAATTCCATGTACAAAACAAAAATCAATTTCATGTACTAAGTCTAAGATAGTAATTTATTGTACAATTACATTTTCAGGTAAGTTAACTATTTTTTATCAAATATGAAAGGTAGCTTAAATGTTTAATACATATAGATATAGATCACAAAAACAAAAAGAGTAATTTGAAAATTAATTGTGTTTACATAGCTTTTAACCATATTTTAATTATTGGTTTTGACATACTTTGTATGTTTTGTGTAAATATCGCTTATAAACAGTGATAAACTTTGTTTTTCGGCATTGCGTGTTGTATAGCAAATGTTCGAGTTCTGTTTTATGACTGTTTTTCACAATTGTATACGTTGTAACGATATGTTCTGTTATTTGGTCTTAAGGATCCCTGTTCCACTGCACTGTGGTGGGTTTTTTTTGGGGGGGGGGGGGGGTTTTTTTAAATTTTCTTTCTGCATCATAAACATGATATACATTGCCTTAATTAGGTGCATACATTGTATAACAATATATAAATTCATTTGTTTTGCTTCTTCATTTTCAACAAGATACTTACACATTAGTATTCTGCTCTTGTTTGCTAAATTCTTACTTACTTTATTTCAACTTCCATATAGATCACACAATGAGATTTGAGATTACCCTATTCCATATCTTACCATAATTTATATATACATTGGTTATTCCTAGATACAGAAACCTCCCCTTAACTTTCGTTTGGTTATAACTATAGCACAGCCTGGCTAGGACACTTTCGATGACCAGGAAGTACAGTCGGTGAGACCAATAGCATAACAAGCTGAAGTCCAGGGTAGGAATATCAGTCTAGCCCCACTGGATTCTATACTCAAAACACTATTGTTGATTATATTTTACGCATTTTTATGAGTTCTCATAAAGTTCCCGAAGGTACGGTTTTCTTTTCAGAAATGATATTTTAAAGCTGCAGTCATGCCGGAAAACAGTTTCCAGCGCTTAGTTATAGTTTTTGTATTAGTTCGGGGATCCTTAATAGGAAAACCTGTTTAAGTGTCGGGTGAAAATAGACCTGCTTTATCCCAATATATGTCGTAAGAAACGAGTTATGTGGGGGTTTCCTCTGTGTCTTCTTCATAGGGGACTTTTAAGAGACCAAGATTGATGCACCTATTGCATTGCTTCGGATTTTTACCTTTTTTTCTCCCTCTCTTGTCCACTTTTTTAATTTACTGCGGTGTTTCTTAAAGGAACTGTCTTTATGTGACCTTAGCTCTTTCGAGGATGTTTGACCTCAACCAAACAAACTCAATACAAACTCCTTTGACCCTATTCCAGTAATGGGCTGAACATATCCTCAGCTTGTCAACAGTCACAACTCTGGAATTTACTCGACCCTTATCAGGAAAGGAATGTTTCATAACTTTGCTTATGTAAGCTGTAACAGAGATTCACGCTTCAAAACACGTGTGGCTCGACTAGTCCCCTGATTATATAAAGACTCGCTGCTTTTAGTAAAATTGGATATATTCTTTCTACAGCTGAAATAGAACACACCACGTATATACCACCATGCTCGGACAAGGTTTAATTCTAGCGGTCGTTGTCGCTTTCACGTCTGCCCAGACCTTCAGTTTCGGACATTGTCCAACATCAACTACTCAGCAAAGCTTCGATTTAAACAGGGTAAGTCATTATTCATGTAACTGTGATATATACTAGGAAATCATGCAAAAAAAAAAAATGTATAACGTTCTTTTTATGAATTCATATTTTTACTTTCGAATGTTAATGGTGTGGTTCTGATATAAAACTGCTAATAGATGTACATATAGAAGGGATTTGAGGAAAATATGAAATCAAAATGAGTAGGTGAATGCGTAATAAAATGAAGCACGGTAACGAAAATGAGAGGAAAATAACATCTAATGGAAATGTAAATATATATTTAGATTATTGAAATATCAAAACGAGGATAGCAAACTATAATTAATGTTTTTTTGGGGTTTTTTTGTTTGTTTGTTTGTTTTTTGTTGGGGGGGGGGGGGGGGGGGGGGGAG